GGGTTTCCGTTCTGTCCAAGAGTTGTTCCTAGCAGATGTAGTGCCCATAAATACTGTTGCATTCAGCTCTGATGTTTGAAGATTTGAGATACTTTTCTGTGATATGATTGGCAACGACAAATTGCAGTGAGCTTTTGTGTCAGTATGGCCCTGCAGACTCAGAGGTGAGAGTGTAACCCAGTACTGGTGCTTTTTCTGGGATTAGAGTTCCATATCAAGTGATCCACAAAAATATTTCTAAAGATACTCTTGAGTATCAAGCACTGAAATGATGTCTTCAGAGGCGTGTGCAGACTGACCACTTCTGTAGGTTGTTTGTAGTTTTCTTTGTCCTGGTGGCTCTGGTTAATACAATTCCATGTGCAGGCAGGTAGTACACAGCAGGCTGTCTTCCCATCCTAAGGGGGATGCTGTCCTTGCCTTGGGCTTTGTATCTCCTCAACTTTCTGCAGCCTGTGTCAGAGTTTTTGTTGTGTCATACGCTTTTCTTTTGAATTTGGATATTTAAATTACCACATACCTCAGTAGCGTAGAAATTTAAAGTGATACATGAGGAATTCAGCTTTGTTTCTCTATTTCCTTGCATTAGCTGCTTCACAGGGAAAACACATGAATGGAAAGGACTCAAAGGATAGAACCAGTTCTTAGAGAAACAATGGAGCATTTGACCAGGATCATATGTGATCTTGCCATTGTTGTGGGACAGCCAGGATGTCCTGATCTAGGTCTTACATTAGTTACCTGGCTCTTTGTCCTGTATTTTGAATTGAGGAATGAATGGTAGGTCTCAAGGGATTTTCAGATGAGCTTTTATGGCATCTTCCCTTTGGATCCGAGCACGGATGTTCATAAAATAGATTGGAGGGATTTGCAAGCTGGGAAGCCAGAAATTCAGCCTTGGGACGTGTCTTCACTTGATTTCCAGGTTCATTCTGATAGCGTGTGATGGCCTCTTCAAAGTCTTTTCACCAGAAGAAGCTGTGAACTTCATTGTGTCCTGCCTGGAGGTGAGGAGAAGGCGGTGTGGGGGCTGGGTTTGTCAGAGTTTGTCAGTGCAGAGGGCATGAGATAACTTCTGCCAGAGTATCCTTCCTTATTCCCTAGGTTGTCTGTATTTGTTTTGCTTCCCAGTGCTTGGAAAATACAATGTACCTACCTTGGCTGGGAGCAATCAAATTCCTTTGTCCCAACAGGATAAGAATATCCAGATGAGAGAAGGGAAGCTGGAAGCAGATGCTCGGTATGAGGCTGCCTGTAACAGACTGGCCAACAAGGCAGTGCAGCGAGGCTCGGCCGACAACGTCACGGTCATGGTGGTCCGGATAGAGCACTGAGGGATGAGATGTGCTGGATGGAAGGAAAGGGAGAGGTCTGTGTGCATGCATGTGTGGCTGGGAGAGGGTGGGTCCTGCTGGATGCTCTTCAGTGTAAATAAAGATGTTTTTTTTTCTAAGAGGTTTAGCTCACTTAGCTGGTAGGGTTGAATGTCTTTGCAAATGCAGTAGATTCATTTGGCAGGGGTGCTAACAAGAAGCATTTGGAGGCGTGAGCCCTGCCAGCTGTTTGAAATGGGACAGTTCTGCTGTCAATATCCTTGAGCTTTGTGCAAGACCCTGTGAGAGTCCAGAGTTCCAGGACTCAATGGGAGCTCCCAGACAGGCTGTACCATACAGACTGCGAGGTACTCTAGGCCACCAGCCTGGGATGTGGTATGGGCTGTCTTCTTCACACTTTTAGTAGTGTGTAGGAAGTAGGAAATCTTTTGAGGTTGCCTGCAGCTGAGGGGCACAAACACACCTTGCAGAGCAGCAGCATGCCTGGCCCATGCTTGCAGAACATGTTGGAGTTTTACCACAATGTTGGTATGGAAAAAGTGGCCGGACTTTGCTCCTAATGCTTTTTGGAAAAAGTGTTTTCACCAAATGAACTGGCAAGGCAGCTGAGCTGCAGGCAGGCTCTGTGCTATCTGAGGAGAAGGCCTTGCAGATTTTAGGTACTAATAAGTGTCTGGTGTCTCATCCTCAGTGCCTCTACCAGCTGTTGCTACAGTCAGTGTGCTGTTTTCCAGAGAAAATTTGGCTGAAGACCAAGTGACAGAATGAAAGCTAAATGGACTGGGCTACCTAAGCACTTAAGTTTCCAATTTCCCACCCTGTGTATGAGGGGGGCAGGGAGTGAGGTGAGCTGAAGGCTCTGCACTGTGGTTGTCTCCTTGTTCTGATGAGGCACAGCTATGGTCCCAGGGAAAGGGGGCAGGGGCAGGGTGGTGCCTGCTGTTTTGTGCATAGCCGTGTGCAGAGCTGCGAGGCTTCCTTGGCTCCTTTCTGTGTTCTGTATCCCTGGAACTTTGGGAGATGGTTCCAGCTCCTGGGCTGTTTGCTGGAGCACACGATGGCTGTCCTGTTTGGGACAGGTGGCCTGACCATCCTGCTTCTATTTCTGCTCCAGGAGTAGTCAGCTACACTTCATGGCCTTGGTTTGAGGGTGCACACTGACTCTCTGCAGAGGGCTAAGTAAGGAAGTGGCCCTCTTGGCATAAATTTTGGATAGTGCTTGTCCTCTGCCAGCTTATTCTGCTTGCAGCCATTCCTGTGTACTCTGATGTAAGGTTGCACTGCAGGATGAGCTGAGAGGGAGTGCCTTTGTAAGCAGCATACTCCTGTTTCGATTCATGAAAGGCAAATTTGGAGAGCCCAGACAGAGTAGTGTGGAGTTGCTTCTGTTTCTGGCAAAAGAAACCCTGATGGCAAATTTCAGAAAGGTAATTTGCTTTCTCTTCTCTTGCTCCCCTTTTTCTACCTCTTATACTGCGCCATGCTGCAAGAGCTGAGCCATGCTCACAGCTCAGGAGCTCCTTCCAGGAGGCCACTCTGAATTCCAGTGCAAGAGCTGCTGAGGGGAATGTTAGCTTATCCTTCTCTGACTGCTTTCCCTCCCCCTCCCTCCTATTGCAACACTGCTTTTCTGCCTTTTAGAGAAAGTTCTGAAAGCACAGCTCCAGCTGGATTGGAATATGCAAATGTTACGGTATAGTTAATTACCATAAAATGACCATTTTTCATGGCAAAGGGGAAAAGGAAGGAGCAGGTCTTACCATACTTGGGAGTAGACAGACAGGTAGAAAAGCAGGCTCAGCCCCAGCTTTGGCAGAAGTAAAACAAACCATTTAATTTCATGGTAAGACAGGGTCTGCAGGAGGTTTCCTGAAAAGGCACTCTCTTTGCCTCAGTGCTCAGCAGCATCCTGCTACTGAGGAGAGCTCCAGGACCACTTCAGGGTGTTGTCACGATCCACAAGGTGGGATTCATGATGTGGTTCTTTTATTTGATCTTAGAGTACAAAAGGTTATCAGCACACTAGGGACTCAAACAGTAAAACACTTTGAGTGCTCATCAGCACTAATATGTGATAAAGGGAAAAGAAGAGAAAGCAAAGTATAGGAAAAAGAGAGTAAGGGGGATTATAGCTACCAATGCCGAAGTCCTCTCAGCTGTCTGTTGACACAGAATCTTCTGTTTCCCTCATAGAAAGTAACTTAGTCACTTTTATAGTCTGTTTCAAAGCAAGGGGCAGTTGGCCAAGAGGAGGGGAGGTTTACAGGCCATTGTGATAAGAGCCATTGCTCTGTGAAGCAGGTGTGAGGTACAGAACAGGCTGCTCCTCCCCAGTCCCTGCTCAGCAGCAGGAACAAGGCAGCCCAGCAAACACCTGCAAACAATCACAATTGTGTAGGTGGAGCACACCTTCAAACAGTCACTTAGCAAGCATCCACCTCAACCAGGCCAGAACTCCTGCACAAAAGTTCCCTGGGTTCTTCAGGGTCTTAGTCTCTGTTCTTGTGATGGTCCTGAGGCAAATGAGGGAATCTTGGGATAGTCTCTTACAGGTGAACCATGCACAAGTGCTCTCCCTTGGGGCTGACAGAGCTTCTGTCCCCTTCCCACACTTGAATTACCCTTTGAGTACCTCTGTCTTAATCAGCTTTTTCAGTTTTGTGATCAAGCACACTGGACTCTTGGTATCTCATCTGCACAGGACAGCTCACAGCTGGGCAAGTCCTGCTTCCAGACACTTCTCTACCTTCTTAGGTGTGGGTAGTAGGAAGAGAGGCAGCTGATCAGAGCAAGGCTCATTGTGTGTGGGGACTGGGAGGTGCTACCATGGCCAAGTTCTACAGCTGGGCAGGAGCTGTGCCAGGAGACTGCTGCCCACCTGATCAGCTCGGGTGATGAGGCACAGGGGGGTGAAGCACAACATTGCTCTCAGAGAAAAGTTCTCTTTGCTTTGGGAGAAGTTAGCATTGAGTCAGCATCCCCCTCCTCCCCAGACCCAAACACCCCTACCCATAAATTGCTGCATTAACAGCTCCTTCACCAGGCTCCTCAAGGAGATGCAGCCCTGGAGATGGGCAGGCAGGGCCTGGGACATCCCTGGGAGAAGGTGGGGCTGGGTACAGCTCAGGCTATCTTGCAGTGTTGCTGGCACGACTTAGGCAGTGCTACTAGGAAATCAAACGCTCGGCTTTCCTGGTGCTTCTCCTGCAGCCCTGGCGTGGTCACATAGGCCTGTGCCCATCCTCAGCTATCGCAGCCAGAGCAAAGAGTGTATCTGCTGTCCACAGCCCGGGCCCTGTGCCACAGGCAGGGAGTGCCTGCTGTGGAGAGTCACAGGACAGGAATTTGCTTTAATCGAATGTGCAGCGTTATTGGGACTTTGCTTTGATGATTAGTGCAAAGGATGTTTGCTCCTGCCAGCAAACCTTCACTGCTCATAGCCTGCAGGACAGCTAAAGCAATAGATAATAATAGATAATAATCTGTCTTGGGCTGCTGAGACTGTCTGGGCAGGGAAGTCCAGTAAGGGCAAAAGTGGATGTGTGGGGCTTTTTACCGGCAGAGTGGAAGCTGAGCCCTAGGGACAAGGCAACCATCTGCTGCCACCGTCAGCAGTGTTTTCCAAGATAAACTTTTAGGCCTAGCCTTTAGATAAAAGTGAATGCATTCATGTCCTAGTCAGGCTGCTTTATTATTATCATCATCATCATCTTCTTCTTCATGATCTTTTGTCCATCTTTGGCTGGTTCTGCAGCACAAGCAATATCAGACCAGACTGCAGCTGCCTGCATGAGCAAATGTTCTTCCTTAGGCTTGGTGCTGAGCAGGGGAGACACGATGGTGGCTGGCAGAGGTTCAGCGTGGTGCCTCTTCACACTCCCAGCAGAACAGCACTGAAATCGGAGCCACTTTGAACTGTGAGGGGAAAGCCTGCCGAGTTGTCCACGAAAACAGAGGCATACTGCCCAGCCTGGGGGGAGAGAGGAATCAGCAGGGCCAGGACACCCCCCCTGGGCACCAGAGCCAAGGAGAGGGCTGTCCCCTGCACACAGGAAGCAAGAGATGGAGGAGCTGCCCCTACCCTTCCTTCTGGGAAAAGAGCAGCACGGGGCCTTTAGGGGCAGCCCAGCCATGGCCTGTGCCATAGTGCCCTAGCAGAGCTCTGCCCTGACTGCCTTTGGGGCTTGGAGGTCACCTGAGAAGCAGACCTGATGCCCAGCCCACGGAAGGCACCTTCCTGCCCAGCGCTGTCACCAGTGGGGCTGGCACCACTAACCTGCAGGTAAAGGGTGCCCGTGACAGAGATGGTGAAAAGGTCCCCACTGTTCGCCAGCTGAGATACGGTCTCCAGATTGCTGCAGAAGAGGGACAGTAGTGGTGCGGGAAGCAGGCCCCTCCTTTACCAGGGATGCTGGACTCCTTCCCTCTTCCCTGCCCAGGGTCCCTGGTCTTGCTGTGCCATACCTGTTGTGCTGGCAGCGGGACTGCACACAGATCAGCACCCGCAGGCGGCTCCCTCGGCATCCCTGGCCCTTCCTCTGCGGCTCCCTGTGTGCTGTGACAGAGCAGGGGGTGACAGCCATCCCAGCCTGCCCTGGCAGGGCCACGGCCTGGCTGAGGGCTCACCAATGTGGAGCGTGCTGGTGAAGGCGTAGTACCCTGCAATCGGGGCCTTGTACTGCCCACTGGTCAGGTTCAGCCCCGGGCCACGGTGGAACATCCCCTCCCTCTCTGGCTGGAAGAGGGAATGGCTGGAGTTAGAGGAGTCCCTGTGCCAGGGTAGGTGCCCCTGCACACAGGGAAAAGGGGCAGGCTGGGCACTTACAATGTAGAACAACCCCAGCTCCTGCCACATCCTCTGCTTCACAGTGATGTCTTCACGCGTTTGGCAATGGAAGGCTGCTTCCACACGGTGCTGGACTCCGCCCCGGAGGTTGCCTTTGCTGCTTTCCTCCTCCTTAGGCCCTTCCCCAGCTGTCCTGCACAGCTTTGCCATGCCTGACCCCAAACCCCACCGGAGTCTGACGTTAGGAAGGGAACCTGAACCTTCCCCAGCTCCGCTGCCCAGCCCTGCTTTGTCTTGTCTTGCTGTCCCCCACAGCTCCTACCCTGGCTTCCCCACCCCGGTACCTCTGAGCAGGAGCTGCAGCTCCCTCAGCAGCTCCTCCGGCATCCTGGGGGAGGCCGGGGCAGCCGAGGTTGGTTTTTCCGGAGAGCCGGCGCCCGCTGGGGCCGTGCGAGCCCCGCTCCTGCC